GTGAAGTTGCAAGCAAGTTTTAGAGCCAATGCTGCTTCTGCACAGCCAGAAAAGAGTTTGCAAACCCAGGATACAGGAGCTCAGTATTCAAAGGTGCTGACTAGTCATTGTATTTGGCATAGTTCGGTAACGGAAGGCATTTGCCTTCTAATTTTCCTGTCAAATACGTTGGAACCCAAACCACCAGGTAGACTGGAGGATAGCTCCATCAATGGAGGGAGGGGGAAGGGAGAGAGAGATAGCTCCATCTATTAGCCCTAGATGATCAGGGACGCAATGCCATGCCCCGGGTGTCCCTAAACCTCCAGTTACCAGAAGCTGGGACTGGAGAACAGGGGATGGATCACTTGAAACTGCCCTGTTCTGTTCATTCCCTCTGAAGCATCTGGCCATGGCCACTGTCAGAGACAGGATACTGGGCTAGACTGACCATTGGTATGACCCAATATGGCTAGTTCTTATGCTAATATGGAAGTTATTCAGACAACAGAAAATTCTTGCACTCAGAATGGATGCTCCTCTCTCTCATCCAAACAATGGCAATGGCCGAATGGAAATAACTAGAAGGAGGATGGAATGAAATACTATGAAACAACGAGGAGGAGGAGGATGGAGTGGGTAATTGAGACAATACATAGTTCTGACCCGATGGAATACACAGAGATCTGCTGGGAAGGAAAGGACAGTGAAAGTGAACTTGAGGTATCCAATTGTCTGAACATTTAGAGAACCAGATGAAGACAACATCTGGATTTCCTGGGTACTGACTGGTAAGATATACAGTGGGCTATCCTGAGAGAGCGCTTCCACAAAATGAAGTTAGAGTTAGAATTAAACATAAAAAAAAACAAAAAAAAAAACCCAAAAGAAATGAGGTGCTGTGTGCCCAGAGCTACCATGTGGATCAATGGAACTGCAGATGCTCAGCTTCTCTGGAAGTAGAGCTACTCAGATTTGAAAAGTTTTGAATAAGCCCCTAGCCTTTATGGCAGCACAGATAATCTTAAAAATGCGAAGAGTTTAAGCCAAAGCACTGAGGTCTGTACAAGCCCACAGATAGCCTGACAATAGTTCTAAGCGGTGTGAACGGTCCCATTTATTTAAAGGGCATCAACCCTTAAGTTTGAGAACCATTTAAATGGCAACATTCGCTTCAATGTAGATCATTTTAACAAACACATTCAAGCAAATGTGTTTGTCGTTTCTGGAGGCAGTGACAAATATTGGGGTGAGAGATGGGGGCGCAGCTAGTTGCTGTTAAGGTTTGCTGAAACAGATGACAAAAAGGGGAATTAAGTTCAAAATCCCCTCTGACCTAAAAGAAACACATCCCTACTGTAGTACTAAAACCCTTAAACCAAACAAAGCCACTTCCCAGAACTTTCTCTGCACCTAAAAAGTTCAAGTGTTCCCTACCCAGCTAGCAACACCTCCACCTTTCCCTTTGGAACTGTAAGAATTTAGGCTGTCTACACACCTCCACTTTCAGCGCTAAAACTTTAGTCATTCAGGGATGTGAAACTCCCCGCCCCCAGTGACAAAAGTTTTAGCATTGAAAAGTGCCAGTATAGAAAGCTACCACCCCGAATGAGGGGTGGTTATTTTTTAAATTGCCAGGAGAGCTCTCCCCCAGCGATAAAGCATGACTACACTGCCCATGTCACAGTACTGCCACAGCCACGTTGTAACATGGGCAGAGTAGACACTCGGCAGAGTTATGGTCATTGCCAATGTGCTGCAAACTTCCGTAATTTAAAATGTGGGATTAATTTTGTTAATTTAATTTATAACACAGAATAGTGTACTAACTGCACTAGAGGGGTGAAGAGGAAGAAGAGAGTCCCACAAGATTTGAGGTCTCTAGTGCTTAAATTAGATCTAATATGCCAAATGGAGCTTTGTAAGACAAGGAATAAGAGCCAGACAAGAGACAGTGGAAAGTGGGTCGGGACCCCTTTGAATGGGGTCACCAGGGCTGGCTTAGACTTGCTAGGGCCCGGGGTTGAAGCCTGAGCCCCACTGCCCAGGGCCAAAGCCCAAGGGCTTCAGCTCTGGGTGGTGGGGCTCATGTTGCTGGTCCCCTGCCTGGGGCTAAAGCCCTTGAGCTTCAGCTTTGGTCCCCCTGCCCAGAGTGGTGGTGCTCGGGCTTTGTCCTCCCCCTTGGGGCTCGGGCAGGCTCATGATTCGGTCCCCCCTCCAGGAGTCATGAAGTAATTTTTGTTGTCAAAAGGGAGTCGCAGTGCAATGAAGTTTGAGAACCCCTGGTCTAAGGGCTTGTCTATACAGGAAAATTGACTGGAATAGCTGTTGCAGAATAGATTTCCTCATGGACACTCTGATTCTGGAATAAACTCATCCACATGGGGAGCTATTCCAGAACAACTATTGTGCTTTAAATTCACACCTTATCTTATTCTGGAATAAATTTCCTGTGTACAAAAGCCTGGGGGGAGGGGGGAGGACCAAAAATCAAGGACAGGCAACACCTTTTAACTAACATGTTTTGAAACACTTAGCACCTAGCATAGACATCTTTAAAAAAAAATTGGCATTTTGTTTGTCTAGATTAAGAGGTCTGAGTTAGCTGCTAACCCTTTCTCTAGTTGTACACACAGATTAGTATCTTTTACCTCCATTTAACTAGTCAAGGTTAACCCTAGAGGCAAACCTAGGTTGACCACAATTGGAAAACAGGTTTTCAAATATGTTAAATTCTGTCTATACTAGGTGCTAACACATTTTAAGCTCCACTTAATGGGTTAACTATTGATTTTAAAAATACCTTTTCTCCTAGTCTAAACAAGCTTTTTTTGCTTCATCTCTCTCAAACTATGCCCCTCCCACCACTTCGCTTACCCCAACTCAAACCAACAGCCTCATGCTTCCCGCCTACCTCCTTGCTCAGGGCAGCCCAACATTACTATAAATCTGAAATATTTAATTTTGACTGTAGCTGAAAGGAAAGTTTTATCTTCATTCATCTGTTCTAGGAAGCAGCCAAAAAAAAAAAATACTATTAATGGATAAACTCCATCCAAAGGGAATACAAAGTGATTTTACAAAGTTAAGAAACAGTTCTGAAAACTACAAGTATGCTCCCTTCCCAATCACTTACAAGTCCTCCAGCTAATACCAGGGCTAAAATTCAAAGCCACCAGAGCTATGAAACCACCTAATCTTCCTTTTCAGAATGTCGCACTGTGGCTTTTCATATATGTAGACTGTAAACTCTATGGGCCAGGGACTTTGCCTTCATTCTGCTCTATGAAGTGCTTAGCATGTTTGGCACTATTAAACATAAAAGTTTTCATACAGTACATTTAGAGTGTTCATACAGATCACTCGTTTTGATTATGATGTCTCATTTCTTCAATCAGCTCCAATCAGACATCTAGTTATGCATTACAAGGACCTTGTCTACACTACAGGTTACTTCGGTATAACTTGTATCAGTCACGAGTGTGACTAATCCACACCCTTGAGCAACATAAGTTACACCAACCTAAGCACCGGTGTAGACAGCATGATGTCGGTGGGAGGGCTTCTCTTGCTGACATAACTACTGCCTCTCGGAAAGGCAGGAGTTAAGCCAACAGGAGAGCTGTCTCCAAGTGGCTTAGAGCGTCTTCACCAGAAGTGCTACAGCAGCACAGCTGTGCTGCTCTAAGTGCTGTAGTGGAGATGTAGTAAGGATCCCTGAACATTCTTGCCAACTCACACCCATATTATATATAGTGTCCCTGTTTGAGAGGTTTCAAGGCTTTCCACTAGATTTTTCCCATAACTCATGAAGGCACTTTTCATTTTCTGTGGGATGATTGTCTAGGTCAGTATCAGATTCTGCCTTCAATTGTTGAGTGGAACCATAGAGGTTCAAAGCCCCAGGAGGGTGAAATGAATTGTTAGAAGTCCACAAGGCTGAATGAATACACAGGAGCCAAAGGCGGCATACTCATAGGCAGACTGTTACTGTTTTGTGCTTCAATTGCATTGACTCACTCTTTCAAAGACAGGCCTATTCACCACTTAGGCTACATCTACGCTGCAGCTGGGAGGCTCAACTCTGGAAGACATATGTGCTAGCTCTGCTTGAGCGGACACACTAAAAAGGCAGTGTGGCTGCAACAGGGTGGGCAGCAGCTCAGGCTAGATGCAAGAATACAACCCTGTCCAAGATCCTAGGTACTTACTCAAGCAGCTACCCCAAGCCGTTGCCCATGCCGCCGTGGGCTCGTTACTATTTTTAGAGCACTAGCTTAAGCAGAGCTAGCACATATACATCTACCTGAGCTAGGAATCACACCTCCCAGCTACTGTGTAGACACACAGTCTTAGGGTGCATCTGCACTAGGAAAAAGAGGTGTTCTTACCCCATGTTAACTAACATGGGCTATCTGACATGAGGCAAAATGCTAGTGAAAATAATGTAGTTTTCACATGTAAGAAGATCTTTATTTCAACCTGGGAGCCATGGATCAGCATTCACGTCACACTCCCTGTCAGTACCTGGCCCAAGCCAGGGAAGCTAACGATCCAACCAGCAGACCAATCCTGGTGAATCCTGGTCACGTGTCACCTTAGCATACACTAAGACAACGATGACCACCTCAATCTGCTAACAGAAGTGACGGCAGCAAACTGCCTTGTCTTCACTAGGGTTTTACCTCACGTCAGTTACCATGTTAACTAACAAGTCTTTTTCCCATAGAGAGCACAAGGCCAAAAGGGATATACATCTCACTGTCAGTTTATTAACGGCTAGGTTGAATCCCTGCTTTTTGGAAAAGCTAAAGCTATGAAGTATAGTTCACAAACCCCAACTACAGCTTTACACCCAATCCCATACAGAGCAGATCCCTTTTCCTCCCAGCTGCTTGAGTACATGGAACAACACAGCCAGCTAATTCACCTCTCCCACCCCACCTTCATCCTCTCCACAACATGGAGCCACCTCTCCCACACCCTGGGAGGTCCCTGCATTGGAGAGTACTGAAATTTACCTGGTGCAATCTGGCGGGCACGTGGTTTACCAAACCCTCTGTGTCGGAGGGGGACTTCCGTGGAGCCTGCTTAACTGGCGACATCAAGCTCTCAGAGGTACTGCAGCTGACGAGGTGGCAGAGCAGAATTTGCAGGACAACGTTCAAGAGATACAAACAAAAAACAGGAACAAAAAACAAAAGCGAGTGATGGCAGGATGAAGTGGCAGGCTATGCCAAAGTAAAAGTGATCACAATGGGTATTGAGACCAGCTCACACGTTCTCCCTGCCTACCCAGTCACTCATACACTTGTCCTCATACATATCACAGCTATTCTCCTCTACCCAATAAAGCCAGATTAAGCCATAAGAACCTGGGAATGTGCTTTCTTGTCCTACATATGAGGCATGAGAGAACATCCAGGTGGGAATACAAACTACTTTCTAACTGTGCATAGGCTAACTAACCCCTCCTCAGCCCATATCAGTTTGAACTTCACCATTACTACATCTAGCAACAAGAGTGGCAGGAGCCACCAGCTCTTCCATGCTACATAGGTGGCTGCCATCCGTCTTCTGGCTAATTCTTTTGTATTGGACTTGTCTGGGATTCCAGACTAATTCAATCTCTTGCTCTCTGAATGCCAGTTCCTGTAGTGGCTATCATAGTTGTCACAAGTGACAGACTGGCTGGGTCGTAATTGCAGCCCCCTATACTTCTAACAGGACAGATCAAAGAGATTTCACTTAGCAACTCTGGGAACAGTTTTGGGGAGGAGGCCGACAGCTCTGAAGTTAGTTCAGTTAGGTTTGCTTTTCCACCTGCTCCTTTCAATCTCCATAGAAGAGACCGGGGAGAGAAGGTAGAAGAAAACATTCACATATCTGGGATGGACCTGGGATTAAGGAGACCAAAATGAGCAATAGTCCTTTAAAATTTCATTAGGCCACCCCTGGTCCCAGCAGCAGCCCATTCCTCTGAACACTGGCCTCACCTTTCTCCTCTTACCCAAGGATACGCTACAGAAACATGCCACTTCCTGCTATACACAAAACAAATATAGGAACTCCCTTTAACACCACTCTTCTGCCCACTAATTAACCCCTCTCTCCCCCACAATGCCCCACCTCTTACACATACAACACATGCAGCAAATACAAACACATGAATAATGACAATGACATTGAGCAGAATGCAACTCCTCACAGGCCAACCTTTTTGTTATCCAAAGGGTTAATCAAACCTTTAGAGAGCCAGCATCTCAGACACAGGACAGTAAAGAGGGGAATACTGGAAAAAGGGACCTGGAGACCCAGCAGTGAGGAGCTTCTACTCTGGCTGAAATTGACTGAGAGCAGCCCTTTAAATGGCTAAAATGGGTTACAGTAGATTCCTGGGGTTGACTGTGTACTCCTATATGTCTGTATTGTACCTAAAGGTCACAATGCAATTTTAAGAAGTTTGTGCACCTACAGATCATGGTGATGGGTACTTTAGAAATCCATCATTATTGTCACAAAGAGGAACAGGCACTGGGAATTCAGAAGTTTTATTCCCACAGGGAAGAACTCTGAACGGTCTATGTTCTAGTCCACTGGTGAGTTCATGACTAGAAGAGACTGAGGTACGCTGTTTGGAATAAGTAGCTTTCCCACCCCAATAAGACAGAAGACAATGAAACCCAAGCTCCCAATGAAATGTGCCATCCGCTTGCCAACAGTCTGTAACAGGACAATCCAGCACAAGTCACAATGGAGTTATGTTAGCACAGAGCTAGCTGGTTAGTCAGCAAGGGAAGAGGAAATGTGTACACATACACACAGGTATTAACAGCAACCACCAATGTGATTAGTTACCATGGTGTCTAGTGGGACTGGAAGAGGAGACCCAGCCCTGTTACATTCCCAATCTGGCGTCTATATCAGGATCTCTGTAAGGAGAGGAAGATAAGCAGGATCCGATCCCAGCACATCAAGGCAAAAGGAAAAAAAACCAAAGTCAGAATAAGAATGGAGGTTTTGGCACTGCCATGCAGGGGTTCTCAACACCACCCAAATGCCCCCTCCCCACTTTAGTTCAAGACAGAACCATCATCCCAATCTGTGCATTACACTGCCACATATTGGGTTAGTTTTGTTTAAAAATTAGTCCATGAACATTTGATAGTGATATTAACAGCAATCACAGCACATCTGGCCCTCCCCTTAACCAACACATGCAGGGCTGATATGGTCAGTGAAAGCAGTATTAAGTTTAAAGATGACTCTGCTGGAAGGTGACCTATAATAGTTAAATCTATTAAAATTTACAGTGCACAAATATTACTGACCCAACCCTGGCACCCACACTGGCATCCTTCACCTGGAAAACACTCGAGTGGAACAACCTGAAGCAAGGCATTTGAATCCTGATACAAGCACCTTTGATGCGTGTCAGTGCATGCTTTCTTTAGTTATGGGGAAAACACATACAGAAAGAAAGCCAGGCTTTCCACACTGAACTCTGAGCACACACAGCTGACTTCACTTCACTCAGTCTTACCATTGGACTCTAATGAACCCATTTTCTCCAAGGTCTCCAACTGGGAACAGGGTGGGGTGAAGAAGAGCTCTTTAGACACTGTCACCACTCAAATTAATTGCACCTCTGACCCTGATGGTCTCCTTGAGGTCACGCAACGTAGGTCTCAGGCCTGTAGCTGTTGCCTTTCTCAGAGCAGAATCCTATGAGTCTCTCACTACAGACTGGAGTCCATGGCTGCAGACTCCTACGAGTCACTGTGATCACCTCAATAGGTCTGACTTCAGTTCAGCACCTGATGTTCTGTTCTCTCAGGGGCAGTGTTAGGGGTATCCAGTGACCAGCCAGCTTTCAGAAAGCAACTTACTATCTATTTAGAACAAAAGTATTTGAGAGAAAACATCTTAAACTCCTCATATATATATATATATTATATATATATATATATATATATACACACACACACACACACCTAACTTAGTAGGTGGTCACCCATCTTCCACATGGGAGACCAACCCTGGGAGGTCTAATACATTTCAGGTTCTCCTGCAGGGCCTGTTTGTTGGCCACAGTCTCATGCCAGTCAGTTCCCAGATAGGGTCTCTCACAGTTTCAAGTCCCTTGTCTGCTAAGACCTACGTGCAGTTGTTTGGGGTGTAAACCCATCAGCATGAACACTGTATGCCCCAAACAAGTTAGCTGTGTGACTTCCTCCCTCTGGAGACTCAGCCAGAGAGTTAACTCTTAAGGTTGAGATGCAGACAACCTTTCCAGGACTGCACTGGGCCTCTGCAGACAGACTAGGCAATTCCAGAAACATGAGCCAGTTTGTTACTGCTTTTCACCATACACCCAGGGGTCCCGCTGAGGTGACCTCCCACCCAGTAGAGCTGGACCTCTCTCTAGGCCTGATCCCCAGTTTCTGAGCCCACTGCATCCCTGTTAGGCTAATGAATATGCAGACAGCCTGGGTTTGACAGGAAACTTATTTTCCAGCTGCGGGCCCCATACCTGCTCTCCTAATTTGGGTTGCAACCTCAGCATAGTTCATAGCCCCTTTTCAACACCCTGGAACTTCTTCCTATACATTTCAAGTGTCAGTTTAAACTTCAGCAGTAACACATGCTTACATTGCTCATAGTTTCCATCATCCTCTCTGGCCATATGGATGAAAGCTTTAAGGTCTTCCCTGTCAGTAGTGAAGCCAGACACTACCGTATCCTCACGCCCACCCTGTTCAATTCACAACTCATTTAAAAATACACCTGTTCCTAAAGCCAGGTAACAATTTGGAGTCTGCGCCTTCAGAGGAACCAGGGATACAGGATCTGTCTCCACCTCCTGGAACAAGCAAAGCTCAGCACTTTCTCTCCCATTCAAGCTCCAGCTGGCTTTCCTTTTTCTTTCCTGCTGCTGCTTTTCCCTCTCTCCTTGCTCACACTGGTGCGGTTTGTCTTTGGACTGGTACTGCTGTTCCTGGTCCCCAGTCCCCAAGTTTCTGGGTTTCCAAACGCAGCCTGCCTCTTGCAAGCTGCAGTTTTTTCTCTTCAAATTGCAAGCTGTTCCACATCAACTGCTGAAGTAGTGAATTCAGTCTGGATGAAGCACAGTTGCTGCCTGGGATCCTCCTCTTCTCCACTTCCTGCTCGGAAGCAGTCTCCCAGGTCTCCCTCGACCTCTGCCATCTCTCCCTGAGATCTGGGTGCACCTGCGGCCTTGAAATCTCATTTCTGGGCTTCAGAGTATGGTAGTTCAGTCAGCTGTGCCTTTGTCAGCTCTTGAGTTTAGCGGCCTCTGCATCATTCCACCAGTTGATTTTTCCTAGTTGCTCATAACTCATCTTCCTGGTTTTGTCTTTCCCTGAATGAAAGACTTTTCTTGGTGCTTCTTCTACAATACTTGTTTTCACTGCTGTTGGTACTGTTGGAAATTTATCACTGCCATAGATCCCACACCTGCTACCACCACATATGTCACAGTTCCAGAGCTAACTGCACCTCTGACCCAATCATGGTCTCCGTGAGGTTCTCCCCCTTAGGTTTCAAGTTTGAGCCTCTTGCGCTCACCTTCCTTGGGGTGGAATCCTGTGATTCTCTCCCTCTAGACTGGGGTCTTTGGCTGCAGACCCCTGAAATTCACTATGATAGTCTCAGTAGGTCTGACTTCAGCACCTGCAGTTCTCTTCTCTCAGGAACAGCAACAGGGTTATTGAGTGACCCAGTCAGCTTTCATAAAGCAAAGTACTATTTATTCAGAGCAAAAGCATTTCAGAGAAAACATAATTAAAAGCTTATACACAAGCCTAGCTTACCAGGTGGTCACCCACCTTCCACATGGAGAACCTGGTTGGTCTAATAGAAACAGATCCTGTGAAACAGAACTTCTAAAAAACATTTTGGATACTGTGTTTCATTTAATGGGAGTTCCTCATTTTTATATCCTTACATTTCATTTTAGTACCATATAATATGCACTATTGACATGTCATAATATAACAAATTAAAAATAGAATATTTCAACTATTTTATTTTTAAAAATCACTGAGGGCAGAGGTTATTTAGTACGGACTGAAACAAATCAAAGTGTCTCCTGTTTGCATTGTAATGAAACCACTGGAGGGTTCATTCGTCCTTTAAAGCAGGGGTTCTCAAACTTCATTGCATCGCAACCCCCTTCTGACAACAAAAATTACGACATGACCCCAGGAGCGGGGACCGACGCCTGACCGATGCCCAAGCCCCACCCCTTGGGTGGGGGAGCCAAAGCCCAAGCCTCACCGCCCCGGGTGGGGTGGACCAAAGCCAAAGGGCTTCAGTCCCAGGCAGGGGGCCTGTAACCTGAGCCCCGATGCCCAGGACTTGAAGCCCTCAGGCTTCAGCCCCAGGTGATGGGGCTTGGGCCCCAGCAAGTCTAAGCCAGCCCTGGCGACTGCATTAAAATGGGGTCACAACCCACTTTGGGGTCCCAACCCACAGTTTGAGAACCCCTGCTTTAAAGAAAGATACCAATAATAATGCATAAGCCTAGAGAGCACTGGGAGGAATGACAGTTCCCCAGCTATCGGACTACTGCGCCTCTTGGTACTACATCCCTTTGGGGAGGTCATGATGGCCAGCTGAAGACAGGACTTGGCTGAAATGACTCCTGCCTCATCTCAACCACTTGTGGTCCTTTCACTCTTCCCTCACTCCCTCTCCCCCCCCCGCCGCACCCCCCCCACACTGGCCAAAAGGGGGGGGTATCTTCCCCCGAGAAATGCTTTTTAGAGTTCTTCTTTCTGACGACACACACGATAATCGCGAGGAGCAGCAAGACAACTAGAGTCACACCAATGGCTATCGCTACCACCATGCCAGTGGGGAACGCAGGTAGATTGTCTGGGTGGAAAAAAAAGATTCAACACTTTGCTTCATTTTCTAGTTAGTAAAAATGTGAGCCACAAAAA